TCGAAGTTTGCTGATTTGTAATCTCTATAATTCTTGTTTCTATAAAAGTTTGGGATGAAAGAGACAAATACGAACCTTTTTTCACGCCTCACCTTTCTGTAGTCTGTGATGTCAGATTAAGTTGAAAGTATTTTACAAATATTTGAGACGATTTAAGAAAGCTGATATTTTTTTTGTCATTTTATTTTATTTCTTTCAAATAAAAAAAAACCAAAACGTAAAATATGTTGAAAATATTTATATATGGTAAGTTCTCACAAACCTCAGTGGAACCAGATTTTTTAAATAAGAATTCGTAGACATGAAGAATAATCTGTAGTGTTCGTATGATAAAATTTAGTTCATTCTGTTTGAGTATGGTAATGACCAAGGGCCTATTCAGTACTGGTTGTGTGGAACTCACATATATGTTACGATCAAAATTGGAATCTGGTCAAATTCTAAATTTGCCTGGACAAAATTAGAATTCGAATTTTGTCCGAACGAAATTAGAATTGGACTAAAAATAAATTGATCAAGTTGAAAACAGTTAGAGCTTGAATAAACAAAGAGTTTTTTTTATTTTACAAACTATTTAAAGATGCAACAAACCCAAGGTTAGGGATTTGGTATTATAAGATTTAGATTTAAGATTATATTTGAATTTGATTTGAAGTTGTGTTTGGTTTTCAAGTCGGATTTGATTTGGTTTTTGACTCAATTTGGATTTGATCTCCCGTGGTTCAAAATTCAAAGGATTTGATAAGATATGGTGTCACAAGAAACAACTTACTATACTAGGATTTGGTCGAACCAAAAAAGAATTTTAGGATTTAGGACTAAATCATTTGTGTTTGGATTTGGATTCGGTTGCAGATGCAAAAATCTTTTTTCTAGTTCTAGTCTACTACTAGTAGTGTAGAATGTTGCTGGTAACACCACATTTTACCAGATCTTTTGGGCTTTGATCTATAGGACGCCAAATCCAATACCAAATTCAAACCCAAACCTCCAAATCCACATTTAGTCTAAAATGAAATAAAATCCTACTTGAGACCCAAACACAACTTGAAATCTAATTCAAATATGATCTCAAATCCAAACCTTATAGTACCAAATCTCTAACCTTGGGTTTGTTGCATCTCTAAATAACGGGTGGGGCAAAAGTTTCGCATTAATTTTGTTTTTAATATAACTCTGCAACGGAATGTCGTAGAGACTTGATTTTTTTTTGTTAGAAAGAGCAAAGTGTCTACTACAAAACTATATAAAAGAGTTTGATTGGAAACGTTTTTTGCAGGCGACAGAGGTCTTAGAACTACAGACCCCGAAAAACTGTTCCGCAACTTTTTTGAATTTAAAAAAAAATTTCTATCCTGAATGGATATGACAATCGTTGTTCATTGATTTTCTTTTTCTTTCTATACCACGTGGGAATATCGCAGACTGTTCAATCTTTTCTATTAGACAGAGAATGATTCATAGTATATGTACCTATATTGGTTCAATTGTCATATGTGTTTCTGTTCGAAATGAAGAAGGACGAACGAGAAACACTTAGATTACGTGTCGTAAATTTTTATCATAATGCTGCATGTGGTGACTTGACAACCACATGGAATTTTTTTAAAAGAGAAGGTTGTTGTTATTCAACTATATATCGAATTATCCAAAGATAATTACAAGATATGATGCTTGATATTCGTAGTAAACTTCGAAAAATGTGGCGTCAAGGTGTTTTTTCAACTTGCCATTAAATATTTTTTGTACTTTAATCATTGCTCTTTTTTTAATGAAATATATAAACCAGACGTGAAAAAAATTTTGTGGCGAAGCTGTAACAGAAACAAATCTAATGCGAAAGTATTGCCTCAGCTATTAATAAAAGTCGAATCGAACGAATAAAAAGATAACCTGTCTAACTATAGAAATTTTTTTCTAAATTCAATAAAGTTCCGGAACAGTTTTTCGGGATCTATAGTTCTAAGACCTCTATCGCCTTCAAAAAACGTTTCCAATCAGACTCTTTTATATAGTTTTGTAGTAGACACTTTGCTCTTTCTAACAAGAACAAAAATCAAGTCTCTACGACATTCCGTTGCAGAGTTATATTAAAAACAAAATTAATGCAAAACTTTTGCCCCACCCGTTAGTTTGTAGAATAAAAAACTCTTTATTTATTGAAGCTCTAACTGTTTTCAACTGGATCAATTTATTTTTAGTCCAATTCTAAGTTTGTCCAGGCAAATTCAGAATTGGACTAGATTCCAATTTTGACCGTAACATATATTTTCGAAGGAAAAGCCTGTTAACGCAGCCCCTTTGGGGCTAAAATGTGAAACGCACATATACACTCTAGCGTCGTTAAACTAATGCAGAATACGTAAAGTGATAAATCTCTAGTAGACTGTAGCTGTCTTGCAGGTTGATCGATGTCTAGAATAATGACTTCTGCATTTCGAACAGAATTTTTTCATTTTTTATATGAGCGCCCTATTGTCTTGTTTGCATTGTTGCTATTCGTTCAATTTTTTTTTAATTCGTTTTTCTTAATTTATCATTTTTATTATTATAATTATTGAATTGATTGACAAATAAGTGTGTTTTACAAATCTATGATATCTATAGCAGATCTTAAACAATATCATATATATTAATCAAGTCACAAATAATGATATTCATTATTTTTCAAAATTATAACTTGATCAATTTTCCAAAAAAACACACGAAAATCTAATACCTTTTATTATTAGTTGCTAAGGTCTGTATTGGGGGGAGGGTCTGTAATGAGGACCTACGTTGCTAAGTGTCTGTAATGGGTCTTCGGTTGCTATGGTGTCTGTAACGGAGAGGGGGCGTCGTGGGAAGCCGCGAAAACTTGACCTTAAAACTTACACTCACTATTTTCTTCGAAAATATATGTGAGTTCCACAAAATAGTGAGTGTAAGTTTTAAGGTCACGTTTTCGCGACTTCCCGCCCCCCCCCTCCGCCCTTCCCCATTACAGACACTTTGCAACGAAAGCCCCCATTACAGACCTTAGCAATTGAGAACAAAAGGTGTTAGATTTTCTAGAATTGTTTTTGGAAAATTGATCAAGCTATAGTTTTGAAAAATAATAAATATCATTATTTGTGACTTGATTAATATAGATGATTGTGTGTAAGATCTGCTGTTGATATCATAGATATGTAAAACGCATTTATTTGTCAATCAATTTAATGATTATAATAATAAGAATGATAAATGAAGAAGAACGAATATTTAAAAAAATGCAAAATAATGAGCGAATAGCAAAAATGAAAAGAAAAATAGGGCGCCCGTAGAAAAAAAATAAAAACATTTGGTTTGCAATGTAGAAATTGGAGAATTTTTTACTTTAGTAATTGATTATCCTGCAAAACAATTATAGTTTACAAGAGAGTTTTCATTTTACGTTTTTTTTAAATTAGTTTAATGAGGCTAGAGCGCATATATGAGTTCCATATTTCAGCTCCAAAAGGGCTGCGCTAACAGGCTTTTTTCCACTATTTTTTTAACTCCGTTTGATCGTTCATATCGCACATAGATTAGGGAAACATTCATCACACCTGATAAAAGTAACAATACAGACGCAGAGCAAATCAGTAGAGCATTACAAGTATACATAGGGGTCATCTGATGAAATAGACGAGATGATTTCTACTAACTTCTCATTACTCACGATCCGTGTGCATTTTGAAGAACAAACATTAGTGTCTGCAGATGCAGCGATATGTGCAACAGGGCGGAGCACTGTGGAGAACGAGAGGCAAACGAAACGTTTTCTGATACAAACACACACTCACTATTATGTTATATTAAAGTCCACAAAAATTAGCGAAATTTGCGTTTGAACAGTTCCGATCTCCAGATGAGCAATGGATAAAATAAATTTTTAAATGAACTATACCAGATAAAATAGTGTACAAAGTGTGAGTGGAGAGATGCATAGTCTCAGTGTGGGTATTGAAGGATCACAAAGGTCTTTGTTACATTCAACGTCACGTCCGCCTTCAAGCGACAGCCACACCTATCATATCAAAACCTTTTTTTTTATATCATTCGAACAATAGAAATCACTTTTTGGTGTTAACAATGGGGAAAGATTTATAGTGAACAGTACGCATTCCGATGTTGGAATGGTTTTTTCTTTATATTGTCTTAACCTGGTAGCCTCCCATGTCTGGCTAACATATGAAGTGAAAAAAGATACCATCACTTGAATGGCTATCCATTAATTTACTAGAACTAAATGGAAATATCCACCACTTTATTTGAAAGTCGAATGCCTTTTGTACCAAAAGCTGTTCTCTGACCATTCTCTCCCTCACCATTTCGAAAAAAAGTCAAGAGGGCACCTCAAAATAATCTAAGCACGTTTTTTGAGCATAATCGTTTCCTTTATTGTATTCTTGGAATCAGTCATAGTGAGTATACATATTCTACTAACTTCTATGGTGATGTCGAGCTGAGAATACACTATATTCGCATGGAAAAGCATAGTATGACGGTAAACCATGACATTATAACAAACTTCTCAGATTCTTTCTCTTCAGAACTGGACATGGGTCATGTGTGAAAGGGGAAACGTGTTCAATGAAGAGAAAAAAAGACAATATAAGTTTTTGGAAACTGATATTGAACCTTAAACTTTTTTACGGTAACTTTTGGAGAACAAATGAGCAATGGTTGAGTAATAAATTAGATAAATAGTATTCTTTCGATTTGAAGCGATGCAAACTTAAACAAATTTATTGTGTTAGTCCTATTCATATACGCATTTCGTATTTGAATATTTCGAAAAAAAGCAGTTCTAATCATACCATAGTTTTTACCTTAGACATCTATCCTGTACTCATCTTATATATTAATGTACACCCATAATGCGAGGCAAATGTGTAATTGTATTCACTATCTTACTGTCATTACTATTTTTTGTTCAACTGCCTCATTTTCTTCTACATGTCAAACAAAAGCCGCCGATTATTGTTAATAAACCCATGAGTGATAATGCTCGATATAATTATGGTGATCATATCAACATTGGGTTCAGCAAGTTCGAATTTCTGCAATCGAAACAACGCGAGATAAAACTTGAACAAAAGTATAATCTAACTGCCATATTACTTCATTGGAAACGATCAGCAAGTGTTGCGAGAGCCGTAAATTATTTACTTGATTCAAATCTTTTCAAAGAAATTATCATTTGGAATAATAATCCAGACATAAACCTTCATAAAACTATATTTGAAAAAAATAACCATTCATTAGATTCTATTCGTATAATCAATTCAAAAGAGAATCTTAAAGATGAAGCCAAATATCATGCATGTGCTGAAGCAAACACTATGGGTTGCTTCTATGCCGATGATGATTGGGATACATCATTCTATCTGAAAAGCCTCATAGCTGATTTTCGAAACGATCCATATATCTTGCATTCTGTTACTGATCCGTACACATTCTATGCAAATTTGGTATGGACCTATTTCGATAGCACCATCAATTTACATGCTGGTTTTTCATGGATTGGTTGTGGAAGTATTTTCTTACGTGAATATGCTCAACGACATATTCATTACTTACAATTTTATTTGAAAAATAATCGTCGTAAGTGAATAAAATAATGAAAGAGTCAGATATGATAATATAATTTTAATCAATAGATTTGATTTACTTTAGTGATGTATTTTTTTCTATTTGGCTCAATGATATTCCATCACAATTCAATATGAATATTCGTAATCTACCTGCCAGTAATGCTGGTGCATCANAGTGTGCCTATTATTCTATTCTCCGAGCGAAAGACGATTTCTCAGCAATGGAAGGTGCTCGGTTATTTCCAATCGCCGACAAGACGCCTCTGGTATCCGATTTCTTTCGTGTGGATTGCCAAGGAAGAAACGGCAGCTCCTATTCGAATCTTCACATGGGAATCAAGTTTGATCCACTCTTGCAAATGAGGTGAGTAGAGATTAGCGGGGTCAAACTTTTTAGGCCCGAAACCCGAAAATATTTTTTATTTCACCCCGATTCCGACTCCGACTCTGACCCGGCAAGTCCTGATTTTTTCTCAAAAAATAACTGAGATCTAATCTGCACGGCATTATGTTGACGGAGAAATATAGACATATTTTGATTGCTAGCCAGTCAAACGGAATAAATTGTGAAAAAAAAACAAGGTATTTTCTCCTGCCATTTCTCTTCTCCCCTTCTCTTCGTTTGTATATAAAACGAACAGATGATCTTAAAGTTGTGAACGCGAAAATAACTCAAGGATGCTTATAAAGAAAACGAAATGATTCTATTTAACATGTGGATGTGGATGGCAGATAAGGGTGTGGGCGTGCGGTAAGTATGGGTACAAGCATCGATGTTGAGTGTGGTGGATTTTCTGTACAACCGCACGTACACCCAGTCGATTTAAAGCACCTACAGTCATTTCCATACACATCCTCATTTTCTGAGTTTTTATTTTCGTTTTTAGTGAAGCTTTGAGTTCTGACGATCAAATACCTGTCTTTCGTTTTCATCTGTTTACTCTTTAATTAACTGTGAAACTAAATAAATTTATGTAACAGAAAAACAAAAACTATTTTTCGGGGAGTATCCTAAAAAACCTGAGGCCCTCGACCGCGGTCTCGACAATTTTTTTTTCAGCCTCGATCCTCGCCCCAACTCCGATGGGGTCAGGGTGGAAATCGAGGTTAGGGTGTCCACGCTGATCTCTAGCTCTGACTATGAAATCTTGTATTTTAGAAGCATACAGAATCCGATGGTGAAAACTCATCTTGGATATAATATTTTGATGTTCGGTTTCGATTCGGTGTCCCGTATGACTTTCATGCGATTCTTGCCGAAAAGCTACTCTTTTCTAATCAAAGAACTCGGAGCTGTGGTAATGAAAGGTAAGTTCTTGAAAAAAAACTTGTTGTGGAAGATCCACTTGAGTAGCTTGATGATTTTTAGGATACAATATTGTCGGCGATGGTACACGAGCAGCACTTCTTCCCATTCTAACAGGACACAATGAAAGGGAGTTACCGGAAGCAAGACGAGGTCATGCATTTGCTGACACCGTCGATCGGTTTCCTTGGATTTGGAATCAATACAAAGGTAAAATTATAGATGTTTCTATAATTTTCTGAATTCAACTTTATCCGAGCCATAGAGATTTACTGAATTTTTCTCATGCAACAGAGCAACTAAGTGTTTCAAATAAAATGATTTTTGTTATTTTTTGATCAGCCGCAAAGTATAATAGAATCTCATCGCTGAAAACATTATGCTCGCAAACCGAGACCGATAAATAGTGAGAAGTTCCATTTAATGATTTATCTGCCTTTATTTTCAACGGCGCAAATCAGTTTCAAATCAAATGTTAAAATTGGTTACATTTCTGAGTAGATAAACTTTAGACTATTGTCTGTGTGTCAAAAAGGTATATTTTCCTTTCGCTCTTTTTCTCTTGTTCATTTCATATCCCTCTTCGATCATTGATTGCTAGCATTACGACCTATTTGGTTGCTTCGAGTAGATTCGTTTCAACGTCAACCTAACCGATATCTGTTTCATAAAGAACTGTTTTTCGAACTGAACTAAAACGGTATAGTCTGATTCAGAACTTATACATGTCAAAAAAACAAGCAGCAGAATTATGGAATTATTTACTGACGATAAGCGTTGAGAAGGCTTATAAGCTATTTCTTCAGATCTAGCAAATATCAAGTAATGTGAAAATATCGTTTTAGAAACGATGCATAATCATTATTGCAGAATTGTCTGAAGTTTTTGATCATTAAAATGAAAAAATCATGATGTTGTTTCAACGATATTCAATTCCTCAATGGAGAGATTCAAGTATATGAGGATTTTAGGGAAAGTTTTTCGTTCGAAAAGGCAGATACGAATAAATCTTCGATAACAGTGTCATTAGCCGCTCTACATACTTATAGTAGATTTGTAGACACGCGTACTGAGATGGGTCGTATGAAATCATTTTTGTGTGAATAAAGAATTCTGACAAATTATTATTATTAATGTTGAACATCCAAGCCAAAAATTCTGAAATGCCGTCGTCACGACTCAGAAAATAGTTGATTCCACCAGAATACAAATCATATTCAATGATAGATACACTAAGTAGTTTCAATGCCTTTCGACAGATTTTTGTTCTTTTTCTTGCAAAGATAATGGCTATGTGACACAATGGGCCGAAGATATGCAATACGTTGGTACATTCCAATATCGTCTGAAAGGCTTTCGTGATCCACCGGTTGATTATTACGGTCGCCCGTTCTACCTCTTTGCCGAATCACGGAAATCGTCGAAACCTCTCTGCTTTGGTTCGATTACTCGTCTTCAGGCAATGTTCAACTGGATTCGCGATTTCTTCGACATGTATCCTCATCAGCCAAAATTTTCGTATCTTTTCCATTCTGATTATTCGCATAATTCAAACAATCGTATACCGTATGCCGACAATGAACTATTAGCTTTTCTTCAAATGATGCAAACACATAATTATCTCGATCGCACAATTCTCATTATCATGACTGATCATGGTGCTCGATATGCATCATTGCGAAATACCTATCAGGGTAGATTGGAAGAACGTTTACCTTTCATGTCCATTCGAATGCCGCCCGAATTTCAAGCTCAATATCCGACGATCATGAGAAACCTACGTTTGAACTCACGTCGTTTGACGACACCATTCGATCTTCACGAAACATTCGAACATCTTTTTATGTTTCATTCGCTCGTTCCTTATCAATCGTGATCGAGTCGCTCGTTTAGTTTATTTGAATTAGTGCCCGAAAATCGAACTTGTGCAAAGGCAGGTGTCAAACAGCATTGGTGTACGTGTCTCGACTGGCACGACATATCGGTAAATGAGCCGATCATTCAGCAGTTCAGTCTGGCTGTTGTTGATTTCTTGAACAAATTCGTGTCAGATCACAAACAGGACTGTGCTACACTTGCTGTACTTCGAGTGAACAAAGCGAGTCAGTTTGAAGATAGTGGTCGTCCTTTGAAGTTTGTAAATTCGAGTGATAAAGGGGTTGGAGTGTCACAACATGAGAAAGGCTCATTTCAATCGTCGAATAACACGAAATTCTATCAAATTCAGCTCGAGACGATGCCTGGTCAAGGACAATTCGAAGTAACGGCTGAGTATGATCCGAAAAGAAAAACATTCGATATTCGAAAGCAACATCTCAGTCGGATAAATAAATATGGTGAAACGTCAGCTTGCATTGCCTCAAAACGACCAGAGTTTCAAGAAATTTGTTATTGTTTGGATTTCTTGGTTCATACAAATATTACTAGTACTACTGCTCTCATGACTGATAGAACAAAGATAACGATAAAAAATATGGCTGTCAACGACCGTCATGTTAATCCCTAAAAATTAAATGTGATCGTGTCGGTTAAGAACACAATACAACAGATGCGAGAGTTATAAGAATAGCTGCATATTAATGTATTCAAAGCTTGATGATTACACGTTTTCAAAGTAATGAAGAAGGATTTCAGTAAAAAATCTATAGTTCTAACAGCAGCTTTAAAAACAATTGTATTTTATTTAAATTCAACGTTTCAACAATGTTATTTCCATTTTCAAGACGGATATAAATGAGAGAATATACAAAAAGACAACATTTATATAGAGTCCGGTTGGGTATGGAGGTGTGGGTGTGGGTGTGGGATGTGAGTGTGAATGTGAGGGTATAGGTGAGTGGATGTGGGTGAGAATGTGAATGAAGTCAAGGAGGACACTTACACTTTACCTACAGATTCACATCCACCCCCATCCCACCCTAAAGAGCATTTTGGAAGAATAAAGAATGAGAATATTGCATTGCATATTGAGAAGAGAACTTATCAGAAACATGGTAAATAAAATCTTCAAGATATTGAATTCTCGTCTATTATGATTTCAACGAAAAGTTGACACAACTTGTTTTATCTCCGATTTTGTATTCTTTGTGAGGCACATCAGAGAAGCAGTAGAGTTCTAGCAGCCTGTCCTTCGGTGCTTGTGGAAGCCTACATTTTGGAGTGCGGATGCCGGCTGTGAATGCGAGTGTGAATGTAGCAATGAACTACGCCGACAACCCAATATCCACACCCACACCTATCTCCAAATATTATTCTTATCATGAATCAAGTTTTCGAAGACGAACAATTAGAACCATACGTACAAAAAATGAGTGTACTTTTTTGTTCAAGATATGAACATCATCTTTATCAAATAATACTTTTATTAATTGTCAATCTTATGAATTTCAAAAGTTCGAAATTTCCATAAATTGTTGTATGTAAACTACTAACAACAACTTATAAGTGGATACTATAAGAAATTGCTCAATTTAACTAGTTTACTTTACATTCTTCTTGAAACAGACTAGAAAAGTGTTGTTTCCTGAATTACTGGATCAATGACTAAAACAAATTCAGTAGTTCATCTTGTTTGTAGAGAATTGAGCCATATGAACAGTATTTTAATTTACACTTCACAACATACGATCCATGGATTAGCAATCAATAAACATTTAATATACAGCCTTTCTGAATGACGGAATCGATATAGATTGAAATGTAAATCAAAACTTGTATCCAAAATCATTAATATTAATATGCAGATGTGTATTCGCGCGGGCATCTTACGTTTCTATTTTCAGTATTTATCTTTTGTTATGTCGATTGTGTGTGTCGTGCTGTTTACAATAAGAAAGTAGGATACGAAGCAAAAGTCAGATTCCATGAAAAAAGGAATTGATCAATGTTGTTTTTCACACAAATAGCATACGAACGAATGAAAACTGGAAATGTATGCACCTATGTCAAGATACTTTCTCGCCTTAGGATTTCGATTCCTTATTCATTTTCATTGCGAAATAAAGATGTTTTATCTTCATAAGCATTGTAATCTCACGTGTATTCCGAGACTGATGATCTATCGAATTTTTAATGAAAGTTTTTTATTCATTCTAATTTATTGCGATAGATAGAACAATGAAATCGATCAATAAAGTTTCTTCATAGAAAATATCATCGTCGAAAAATACTATTTATGTACGTATTAACCTAGCACATATCTTAGAGAAGCAATTTTTTTTATGCTCTCGATTGTAGTTTTCTCGAAGAAATCTTGTTTGACCAGCAAGCCGCTTGATTTTACGCACACTTTTAAGGCAGTAGTTGAATATATAATAAAGTCATCCAGATCACCACACGGATAATGTGTAGTTCCTTCTAATACACATTGTCTGCTCGAAGTACACCGATTCGATGTGGCGACCTCATCGTGAAGCTTTTCATAAGTAGCTGTTAGTTTCCTATTAGTAAATAGGAACCCAATGATGGTACGCAAATCGTCGATTGATGATATAAAAACTTGATTATCAATTATTCTTCATTCCT